AATCTTCAAAACATATGTTCCACTGTAGACAATCTCGACAAGAGCCCATCAAAAATAATACTTTTTTTTTTTCTTTGTTGACTCCGATTTGCTAACAAACCCTAAGTAATTTTTTGGGGGTTGGTTGGTTTTGTTTTTAACAAAGACACCTAGAATGTATACATGCTGCTAAATTAATGTTTGGGAATACTTACTTTTCTTAAAGGGACAGAGAAATTCATAAAACTGCATAGGAAATCTGAAACTATGTGCTCTATCTAACAAATTATAAGAGGAAGTATTATCTTTTTTTTTTTGTTCATGACATTTATAATTTTACTGGCCTTATAAAAATGTGTTGGTGCATCTACTAAGGCCATGTGCACAGTGGAGGCAATAAGAGTCAAAATCCTCCCCAAGCCTGTCTCTATGCTAAAGTGCTTCTTTTGCTTTAAGAGGTAACATCCAACCTTAATTGATATCGCTAATGAAGAAATAGGATATCTTTTTGGTAAGTGTAAGGCAAGTGCCAAACTGTTAAAAATGGCGTCAGAAGATGCCTGGCACCATAACCACTACAAAACACTATAAAGGTTATGTTCCTTTGAGTACACCTTTAAGCAGGGAGGAAGAGAAACAAGTCTATAAAAATATTATGGTACAGAATCTTCTCTGTGGATCTGGGGAGCAAGGCCAACCCGTAATTTGGCAGTCAACTAAGTTCACTTGGGCGAATCTTTTAATATAAGTTTGAATATAAAGAAGAAATGCAAGGTAACTTTCAGTGATGTTTTAAAAGTCAAGAGTACATGTGGGAAGCATATTCAGAAGAAATGAGTCTAGAACAGGAGGTCATTCACTAGGGCTGCAGGGTGGCAGGCTCCAGGGAGATGTGAAGAACTAAGACGTAACAAAGAGCTTAATAAATTAAAGGTAGCGTATAGGTGCTAAAGGCTAATTCAGTGAGGGATTTAAAACATGCTCAAGGCAAGCATATCGTAATGGTATCCTGAATATAACATGAGATAAAGAATCAAATATGACTTGAATTATTACTCTAGACTGGAATTATGCAACATTCAGCACTCCGACACGGTGTTTTTTTGCGTGCTGAGAATGATGAGAGTTTCCAGTAATAGTGCCCTAGATGTTGCCAGTAGGGCTCTGGAGACTGGAGCCTGGGATGTGGGGCTTTTTAGCCCAAGATCTCTATAATTGGTGGAGGAGACACAACAACATTAGTGTTTTTATTTAAAAATGTTAATTTACAGCACCCAGTCACCTCACTTCTCAAAGATTCTGAAGAGCATCAGCACAAATTGTTAATTGGGATGGGATGGGATGGGAGGATGGGATGTAATGTACATGGCATATCCCAACCTCTCTGTTAGTGTTGGGGTCGTTACATTTTCTTTGGGCTCAAGCCACGTCCCTGGAATTTAGCAACACCCCTGAATAGATATGAATATGATATACTTTACCTTATGTACTATGGTCGCACACTGACACTTTACCTTATGTACTATGGTCGCACACTGCATCTTGGCAAATACATTGAACATGTACATGTATAAACCTCTACACAGATGTTGGCAGACGGGCTGTATAGTTTGTGAGGCCTTAGGCAAAACTCAAGTAAGAGGCCATGGTTGATCGTTCAGGAAAAGGATGGGGTATGAGGTGAGGCCCCAGTAAGTGTTAGGCCCTTGCCCAGGCATAGGCAACCTTCGGCACTCCAGAGGTTTTTTGACTACATCTCCCATGATGCTTTGCCAGCATTATGGGTGTAAGAGCATTATGAGGGATGTAGTCCACAACATCTAGAGTGTGAAGGTTGCCTATCCCTGCACCTAATCAGTCGCCTAACTGGCCTAATTATGGGATTAGGATTAAAAAAAAATTGTAACAGGTAAATGTTACAATGGGCATTACAACCTAGTGGCTGCCTGATTGACAGCTACTAGAGGCAGTCTTTATCCTGCAATGTAATTATTGCAGTTTCTCAGAAACTGCAATAATTACAATTGCAGCGTTAAGGGGACGGGGCACTGCACCCAGACCACTTTAATGAGATGAAGTGGTCTGGGTGCCTATAGTGTCCCTTTAAGCTAAAGTTGTTTTCGTGCCTATAGTATTCTTTTAAGCAAACCTATTTTCCTTCTTTCTATTAAAAAGCATGACTATTTCTGATATTATTAGATTGCCTACCAACTATCTACTATACAAGAGCATACATTACAATATAAATGTTATAGGATGCACTATTCTATTGGATAAGTATGTTCCTGATCACTGAATCTAGTCAAATTTTTACTGAAACCGAACAACCAGATAGTGTGATCCTACAGGGGCGCTTATTATTAATTAACCATCTTTTGATTGGAGATCTAGGAAGCAGTAAAAATGATGTATATAGGAAGATCTTCTGAACTTAATGTGGCTTGAAATTACATAATGGATTTGCTTAAATGATTGCTTAAAAATGTACACACCATAAAATGAAAATGCTGGCTTTAATCCTGCAGATAATTAAACACAATACTATCAGGGTTATTTACTAAAGTGAGAACTTCTGGGAATAAAAAGTGAATTCAAAGTGAATTTCAAATATTAGGTCAAATTAGCCGATTTACAAAAATCCACCAAGTCAATTCTGTGTTCATTTTGGCTATTTTGGCCTAACATTTGAAATTCTATTTTAATTCCCTGCAATTTTCACATTTGTGAACAACACACACTCTCTCTCTCTCTATATATATATATTTATATACACATTAAATATATAGACATATACATACATGTACACACATTAAACTCAAAATGATCAGAAAGAAAAAAAGTCCATACGCCAAAGTCTGATATATTATATTTTATTAAAGGAACACTGTAGATGCCCTAATCACCTCAAATGATGTTTATCAGAAATGACATGTTTTACACTGTCCAGAAAAGTAGGCCTTATCTGGCCCTTCACAAGATTTTCTTGCACAGCTGTATACTAGTAGATTATACTATTACTTGGTCAGGTAGGCCAAAAAAACATTTTTGTTTATTTCATGGGTTTTGCCATTGAAAACATAACTATGACCTAAGCACGTGTTTTTCTTTGTATTATATGGCAATTTCGACACATGGAGGGATGCCTGTACTACCAACATATGTGCACATGAGCATACTGACCCTTGTGCATGCGCATGAGTCATTTTTCCATTATTTCTGCTTAATTGGGTAACCCACTAACATCAGATGAAGCAGTGATAACATTTAATGTGAATCATACCTGGCCCTCTATCTAAAAAAATGTGACATCACTTCTTTAGTAAAATGTGAGGCATGATATCCCTGAAGCCAACCATGTGTAATGTGTATTAAAATGGCTTCTGGTTGTTGGACACGGAAGGCACTGTGAAGCAGTCCATCGTATTTGCAGCTGTGGTACCTATCATGTGCAAACAGATTCCTAGCATAAAGCAGATAACAGCTAGTTGTGACATTAATGTGCATGCCTCGGCATGCCTATGGCTGGCTATATTTGTGAAAACATAATTTTTGAGGTGTTATTTTTTCCTTAGTACATGAGCCCTAAACATTATTTCTAAACAGCTACTTGCAGGAAATAATGTTAATTTCCTTTCTTTTCTACAAAAGCCAGGTGAGTTAACCAGCATTTATCTAGACGCAGGGGTAAGCAACCTTCAGCATGTTAGGGATACATCTCCCACAATGTTCTGCCAGCCATAATGCTTGTAAATCTCATCAGGGGAGAAATAGTCCTCAGCATCCGGAGTGCCAAAGGCTACCTACTCCTGGTCTAGAGATAGGTAAGCTAGTATAATTTTTAAAAGGTTACTCCAAACACCATTAACACTTCAGTGATTTGAAGTGGTCATGGTGGTAGGAGTGTGTATGTATAGAGTTATTGGTAATTGGGTTTTGGGGGCTAGTTGCACCCCCAGCATCTCACATTCATGACTTTTACACAAGTTAGAGACACAGTAACACTTTTATAATAGATTACAAAACTACCCCGATAGAGCTGTCACCCACCACCCAAAAAATAGGTATTTCATAAAGATAAAATCATGTGTTTAAATTTTCTTACACTTGACAAAGCCTGAGAAAAGGGTGGAGCTACCACTGTCAAACTTTGTCAAGCCCTCAGCTGACACTAGTGGCTTTATCAATGGACTCGCGGGATCCTCTATAAACATCAGTGTTGTACTCTCGCGCATGTGCTAAAGTACAGCACTGACGTGGACTCCTGGTAGTTGAAGAGTCAGTAGCTGAACAGAAACCCTTGGAAGAAGATGGAGTCACATGTGAGGGAAAGGTAAGTCAAATTCCCATCTCCATGAACCCTGCAGCCACCACATTGCAAGCAGCAAATTCACCAGAAGGTGACAGAGCTGCTTTAAATCAACAGTTGTCCGTTCTATGTTTACCTTTTTCTGAGTTTACAATTATTTCAAGAACTTTATTTAGAGTATCTAAAAGAAACACAAGCTTACTTTTTGTTTTATAGGTTTACATACTGCTGGCAAAATGGGTGCCCACTAGATTAAATTACTAACCAGTGATAATGTATAAAGGGTCATGAAGCTTTTCTTCACATCAGTGTTTGTGACAAAAAAGTGCCCTGGTAACATTTATATAACTGAAAACACTCTGCACACCTAGCAACAAAATTAGCTTCACTGATTCCTAAAAAAAATAATAAAATTGGTGTCACCGCCTATATAAAACTTTGAATATCTGCATTGCTCCAGGTTTCCAGAGAAGATTGCACAAAACAATTCTTTTTAATCCTAACAAGGTGAATTAGGGCGCACTTGCTTTTCCCCTCCATCTTCTGACTGAAGCTTAAAAATCAACGGGGAGGAGGGAGCACTCAGCAGACACATAGACAGCAGCGCCAACTATGTCTGCCTGGGCCTAGTATGGGTTATAGATCACAGCAACGAAAGCAGCAAAGACTGCACATACTTGCCATAAATAAACACACATCACCCTGTACCGTCTGACAAGACGGAGTAAAGATTGGCAAGAGTAAGCACAAGGAGACTTTTTAAAGGAAAATGTCCCCATTTGATCTTCAATAATAGATGGTATCATTTATGAAAGAACATAAAGGATAAAAGTGTGGTAATTGACATTCTTATCCCTTGTAACCTAAAACTCTTCCCTGCGGTTAAAGCTAATATATCGGCAGGTTCATTCTCTCATTTGTTAAGATTGCTTTGCCGTATGGAAAGGAGCCCTCATTTATTTCTGAATTGTCCTTAAATTGCTTTCTCGTATCCCCCCTCCTTTTTCACGAATCCTTCTCTTTCAAGTGACATTTGCTGCGTTACTGGAGTCTGATTTAAGGCCTTTTATCCAAACCATTGCTTTCTTACTTAACTATATTGCTTCCAACCCCGTTGGGAAGCTGCTGTGTTACTCATTAACATTCAGTCTGGAGAAGGCTAGAGGCACAGAGAGCATCGGCTCTTGCATGCGGCTCCGGGCCCTGAGTTAAGACGATGGGAACACTCTGCACTATTAATGAACTTGCAAAATTGACTTGGGTGTTGGGTCCAGCAGAAAGCTACGATCATCTCTGCTATTGAGCCAATATATGCTGGCGACAGAGATGACGGTACTCTGTGCTTATTCAGTGCCAGACAATATCATTGTGTATCATATTCTGCAGATTTGTTGCTATGCACTTGAGGTGTCATGTAGAAGTGGTTATGGTGCGTGGAGTGTTCCTTTAAACCAGGGGTGCCCAAGAGGTAGATATCCAGATATTTTAACACTACAGCTTCCATGATGCTTTGTCATGGGAGTTGTGGTTCTACAACATCTAGGGATCTACATTTTAGCCACCCTGATTTAAACTAAATTCTACTCAGCATGCTACAATTAAACTAAACCAACCCAGAATGCTACATATGAAACAAAATGAATCCAACACTCTAAACATAAACAAAGCATACTACACTAAACTAAAACATGCACTTCCACAAAATGTATACAATGTACAATATAAAGCACACAAAGCATAACGTTTACATCACGAAACGGATAACTGTGTATAACTGTATATACTTATATTTTATAAGTGCTGCCACCGTTTCCGTAATATATAAAGGCACACACTATTTGTACAAATAGATATTTTTTTTTAAGAAGAATGATCTCCTGTAAGTCTCTCTAATAGTCGCATATCACATTTACAGTCTGAACCCATTTACAGTTACCACATTTACTTGATTACATGAAAAAACAAAATGTATTTTCTTGCCTGAGCTGTAATCTTAGGATTGCTATTTACAGATTGGCATTAAGCACCCTGGAAGGGTATCCTAATCTATCTGCATGATAATGAGCTGGTGTTATGTGAACATGAGATCCCTGTCAAACTGCAAGTAAACACGGTTGAGATTGCCTGCGTCCTTGCAGATGATGTATTTGTGTGGATGCAGGGCCCCTTGAAAGCGTTGCTGTGCCGCACACTTCTGCAAAGTTCACTGCCAATCATAGCTAAATAATGTCAGTCCGGGGTTATAGGCAGCCAGCCGGATCTGGTTTATTCAATATAAGAATTCTGGAAATCTTTACACTGATGTTCCAAAAGTCCCTGCAGATATGCGTATTCTATTCCGTTATGCTATAAGCTTTGTATTTCCTACAGTTTTGTTAGTGGGTAAACTGTGAATTCTCGAGAACAGACCAACGGGTTGTAAATTGTAGACCGAAAACATATTATCTCCCAACAATGAGGAAGGGTGAACCAGGATTGGAATGGGCATGGCCTTGAGGAAGCTTCGCCAATGCTACAATCCGTGTCACTGGCGGCGGCCATAATGGAGAAGATATGGGTCTTCAGCCTTCGGGATCATGCAGGGAGCGCTGCCGTGCTGCCCACTGAACATTGCGAGTGCATCCCCCAACATGGGGTACCATGGAACAAAAGCAGGAAAGAGGCACAGGGCCCCAAATCATGGCTGTCTTATCGAAAGCCGGACTATTGGGAGGCTTGCAAAAATGTCAAAGTGGAAATTGCAGAGATTTTGATATTTGAGGATTTGGAAATTTTGACTTTCAATTTAGCAGGTAAAGCTGATAAATCAGGTTAATTCACGTAATATTTTGAATGGGCCAGGAAAATGTCACAGAGTTATTTACTGGAGTGACATTGTTGAGGATACCAATTGAATTTCAAGGTCAAACTAGTCGCGCTAGAAGCATAGCTGACTGGATTTTTCTAGTATGGCTACTTTGGTCTTAAATGTAAAATTCACTTGAAACTCACTTTGATTTCCCAACAATTCACACGTTATTAAATAAGCCTGTCAATGGTTAGCAGAAGTGGAAATTAAGATATTGGAAATAACCTTTATGAAATACTGAGGCTGAATATGTTGAAATTTAATTGAGATTCCATGCAATCCAAAGAATCCACAAGTTAAAGTAGGGACTGCTTTGTCTTACGGTAAAAGTCTGAGGTTGACAAAAGGCAGAACTTCAACGTCAACTTTTGTCCAGTCCTACAAGCTGTTGTAAATGACATTTGTGAGAATCAGTCATTGCCCCTCATCACGAGACTTGATCTGTGCCTCTCAGTGCCCTCCATGGCGCTCAGTATTGTACACTTGCTCATACACGAGAGTACAGCACTGTCACGGCTCGTCGTAGGCGAAGCACCAGGAGCTGAAGTCTACCATATGGAAGAAGGTGGCAGCGACCGTGATGGACAGCTTGAGATAAATATACTCATCTTTCACTGCACACCGCAAGTACTGGACGGAACCAGAGATGTCACCTTCAAAAGGCTCTCAAAAGTGACAGATCCACTTTAATTCAATAACTGTTCATGAGAAGAATGGAAGGCAGAGTAGACATTGCTGACATAGAATCTGAAGCTCAATTTTGTATTAGAGATATTGTAAACGCATTCTGGGGAAAAGTTCAATGTGTGGAGCATTAAGCAGGACCATATGACAGGTTTCCACGGCAATTGCTCCACTATTAAAAAAAAGTGCATACTACACAAAACTACCAAATTTAACAAGACACTGACACCAGGCATATAGCTAAAAGTAAACAAACTTCCTACAGTAGAGACAAAAGTAAAATACAGTGTTAGGAAAGACAATGAGTGAATGCTCAACCCAATCAACAAGTAGCAAGACCACCCATGGGAATGTTATTATGTGAGCACATGATGCTTACAATAATTCTGCAGGACAATTCAGCACTGGAAATGTTAAGAATAGTTTACTACTTGAAAAATGGGTTAATGGACAGACACCTTGGATCCAAGAAAGCAGAGAAGATCAGTTTGAAGCTGATCTTCTGTAGCACCTGTGAAGACAATTAGAATTTAAATGTGTAGCAAACCGCCCCGACTTGAGACGGCTGCTTCCTGCAAGGAATTTTGATAGGCCGGTAATTAAATCTGTGGCATTTCAGACCTGCTGTCTCTCCAAATTTAGATACTATCAAATTCCTATCAGGCTGATGGGTCCGATCTACAGAAGTCGCTTGGAAGATGGTGGCTTATTTACAACAATCTTCAATTAGTTTAACTCCTTCACTGCTAGATGTATCAGCTGCAAGTTCTTTGAAGCACATTTATGGAAGCACTTATATAATGCTTTCCAGTAGATGGACTTGAGAAGGCTGTATCTTTATGGAAAATATTTAAAATATTGCCATAAAAATGATCTGTATTGGTGTTACATTCAGAAGGAAACAATGTCGTCACTGCACTGTACATAATTGCCTATATCCCAATATTGCTTCTATTCAAATCGAAACGGTGGGTAAAATCCTAAGGGGGTGTTACGATTGATGCGAAGTGAGTCACTAGCAACATCCTCAATGGGTGGGCTCCCTGGGAAAGTGACGGTCTCTTCTAAAAGAGGGTCGGTAAGCCAGAAAAGGGGTTTGCCCGCTGTCCCCTGACAGGCAGCCTGGCTGGCCCCAAAGCTTCAGGACCATGCAGGGAGTGCTTCCTTCATGGTCTTAGTGCCTGCTGCACAGTAGAAGCACGTCTAATGATGCACTCGCAAAGTGCTGCCCAGAGACAGTTTCTTTGTGCCCCACATTTAACAAAAATGTAACTAAAGACAGCACCCAAATTTTTTTACAGTTCCGCCAAAGCAGGACAGCTGGGAGGCATATAATTGCATCATTTTAAATGTTCTTGCTATGTTAAGGTTAAAAGTATACCTCCCAACAGTCCTGGATCTGGCTGGAGAATCCCAATACAGGGCTCCAGTCTGCTGTATTGGAGTTGTCTGCCTGGTCTCCCTCATCTGGACACAAAAGGGAACTGTACTTAGCAAACAAATCCTCAGATAAACCTGCTAGGTGCCGAGGACACAAATATCATGTACAAAACACTGCACTGTCTGTCGTGAGTGGGGCTGGCCTGACAAGCTGTCAGTCATCCTGTGCTTTCCCTTTCTGACCCAGACCACTCATTCTGGGATTCACCAGGGACACAAGAGGTATTAATGGCAAGCCCCTTTTGGTCTATACACCCCCTATTCTAAGTTCTTACTTCCTGATAATAGGATGGCAGATACAGAGTCTACAACTAGATGCAAATAAACATTAAGAGAGCAGTGAATATTGACAATAAAAAACAACTGAAACTGTGTGCCCTTCAGTGGGATAACATACGCGGAAGTATCAAATGCGCTCCACAATGGAATGCACGCTAACAGCTGCCGTGAATAACACACGTTACATGGCTGATATAAAAGCAGAACCTGGTCGGAGTGGATCTATACATCCCTGAGGAAGTCCAGAAGAGGACGAAACGCGTTGGATCTATTTTCTCTTTGCTCATATGAACTTTTTATTTATTTTATCCGGATCTGTGATCCTGTTGTTGCTGTTGGAATCTTTGCTGTAATTTTATCTGCTGGAACACCTGGATACCACCTTGGTGTGGAGACATGCTGTTTTCTCTTTGAAACATAAGTGCAATATATACAATAAATTGTTATACTTTTGATACAATCTGCACTATCTATCTTCTTCTTTTATTTGAGTGGCCAAGAAGATTTCTCACATATATCAAGAATTCCATCCCTGGAGGTCCTCTATATCCTCACCACTACCCTAAAATTAAGGGAGACATGCCTGAATTCATCTGCATCTTGTGAGTTCTCTACCACCCCCACCCCCCACTTATGTTAATTTTACTATACTATTTTTATATTTTTTCCAATAGATATGTACCCATAGTAGATCCTACCAGTTATTATACAGATACACAGTGTTTATGGTAAAACTATACTATTGCAAAGGTTGTACCATTTATTAGTATCACTTTTTGGTGAATTACACAACTCTTTCCTTTTTCTCTTTGTAACTTCAGTGGGTCCCCACTTACATAGT